CTTCATTCGTGCATCAGTTTGACTTGTGTGTAACAGGGGAGGGGCTGGCTAGACTGAGCTGTGACCCTCGGCTACTCCACACCCTCTTACCTCACATTCAAGTGTTTGCCCGTGTCAGTCCAAAACAGAAGGTAGGTCCTGAAGCAGCAGCTGTATGTGTCTTCAGACTAGTAGTAGTTCCCATTCACTTGAATGAGAAAGTGGTCTCAGCCTTTTGGACCTCACTGTATATTTTATACTCTTAAAGAAAATGCCAGCCATTGATAACTGGCTGAACATATACAACCCCTAACCCTGAACATAGACATCATGTTGAAGCTGAAGTTATTGGACATTTTTTACTGTCTGTCTCAAACATCAATAACCAGATATTGTGGTTTTTGTCAAAGAGCAAAGGCTTTTGCTCACCAATAATTCAGTGAGATCCATCATAGACAAAGCAGAGTTTAGACAGAGAGTAGTCTCAGTAGTCTACAAGACAGTGCAGCAAAAAGCCATGTATTTTAACAAGGGGACACTGCTCACTTTGTCTGACAGGTATATTTCTCTGGGGGTTGTTGAGAGGCTTTTTGGGAAATCTAGGGAATCAGTTTTTTGAGTGTGACGGATTGGTGGTACTCTATGTAACAATGTCTCTGAGGGCGAGCTGAAAGGATGTTTTGGTTTTAGAAGTGATCATCTATTAAGATGGTTGTCTGTTGTTTTTCAGGAATTTGTGATCACCAGTCTAAAGGGTCTGGGTTACGTAACACTGATGTGTGGTGATGGTACAAATGATGTTGGAGCTCTCAAACATGCCCACATAGGTAAGATTTATCAACCACCGAGGCTTACAGCTTTTGTGCCAATGCATGACCCCAACAGTAAGCAGTGACGATTGTTTTGTTTTTCCTCAGGTGTTGCCCTGTTAGCCAATGCCCCTGAGCGCATGCCCGAAAAAAAGAAACGGGGGAGAGAGAAGGAGGCCTCCACGGCAGAACCAAGACCTTTACCACCTGTCAGTTCAGGAGGCAAACTGAGCTCCAGGGCAGCCAGGCAGAGGGTGATGGCCCATAGAGAAGAGCAGCTTGCAGCACAAAAGGTGTGTATCTTCAGGAAGTACCTCCTCCCTGATTCCTGAGGGAATAGTTTACCAATAACTTGAATTTTGTCCTCTCTTTTTTTCCTCCGTATGCCAACTAAAAATCATCTATGTTCATAGGTCCACTGAATGGAACATGCTAACCTGTATTCCCATTTTAGCCCCCCCCCCTTACTGTACCAACATTGACAAAACCCATGTATTTATAGCTCAAAACAGAGAATAAATGTGCTTTTTATTGACTAATAGAGTTTAAATGCACTGGTCTAAACGTGAGGGTTTCTTCTGTAACAGGAGAGAATCAGTCAAGTCTTACGGGAACTTGAAGAGGATCAGGTACAAGTAGTGAAGTTGGGTGATGCCTCCATTGCAGCCCCTTTCACCTCCAAGCTCTCCTCCATACAGTGCAGTGAGTAATGTGTTTTTTTTTTCTTTAACTTTCAGCTCTTGACATAGTGGGCAAAGATTCAAACATGAAAATTTCTGAAACGTGTCACTTTGTCTTTGTCCACAGTCTGCCATGTAATAAAGCAAGGCCGTTGCACTCTAGTGACAACGCTCCAAATGTTTAAAATCCTCGCTCTCAATGCCCTGGTACTGGCCTACAGCCAGTCTGTACTCTACCTCGAGGGGGTCAAGTTCAGTGATTTCCAGGCGACCCTGCAGGGCCTGCTGTTGGCGGGATGCTTCCTCTTCATCTCTAGATCAAAGGTGAGAATTTATGTAGGAAAATACAGCCTCTGCTTGTCTTCTAACATGATAAATGTCTACTGGTTTTGATAGCAAAAAAATTAAGAATCTTCTTTTCTCTCCTGTTAACATAGCCACTGAAAACGTTGTCTCGAGAGCGGCCCTTACCAAACATCTTCAATCTTTATACGGTGTTGACTGTGCTGCTGCAGTTTGCTGTTCACTTCTGTAGTCTGGTGTACCTTTACAGAGAGGCACAAAGCAGAAGTCCGCCCAGGTAAATCACAGTGAGACAGAAAGAGAGAGAATGAGAGAGAAAATGCAAATTCTGCTTTACACGTTAAATATTTACATTTAACATTACATTAACACACTATAATAAAAATGCACTTGTCCTTTCTCTCTTGCAGAGTGGATCAGTTTGTAGATCTTTATAAAGAGTTTGAACCCAGTTTAATTAACAGCACCGTGTACATAATGTCCATGGCCATGCAGATGGCCACCTTTGCCATTAACTACAAGGTACTTATTCTTAATGCCATTACTATTTGTTATCTCTCATTCAGTATAGTATAATAATTTCACAGCATTTCTTATTGTGTGTGATAGGGTCACCCCTTCATGGAGTCACTCAGCGAGAATCGACCACTACTCTGGAGTATCGCTCTGTCAGGTTTAGCGATTGTGGGACTTCTTACTGGTTCCTCACCAGAATTCAATGAACAGTTTGCTCTTGTAGATATTCCAACTGAGGTGAGCTGACATTATTTTACCATGTACTGCTTTGACTTAATAGACTTGTAATAATGACATACCCCATGAGGTAACCTGCTTCCTTTTTACTTCCTTGCAGTTCAAATTGATCATTGCCCAGGTTCTGGTGGTGGACTTTGTTGCTGCTCTGCTGGTGGACCGTGTCCTGCAGTTCCTGCTGGGCAAAGGAACTCTCAGGCTGCCTTCTTGAACTCAGTGCCAACAGTGACCGCTGCCCTTACCAACCAAACTGTAAAGGGAGAGAAGAATTTGGATGAGGGAGACAATTAAAGCTGTTGTGACATACACAAAACAGCTGAGACAGACATGGCAAGCAGTACTGTACACTCTGTGTATCCCTTCCTTCGTCCTGCTCTGATCCTCCTTAACCATCCGTGTTTCTGTATTTTCATCAGCTCTGTTACAATTCTCTTTCTATTTCCTTCATGACTCTTAATTTCTTTCTACCTTTTCTCTCTCTCTTCATCTGTCCCTCGCCGCTGCTACAAAAGGCCATGAAGACAGCAGTATTGAGTGGAGTGCGAGACTGTGTGCCAGCCAGTGTGAAACATACAGGCACACAAAAGGGGCATTCTCTAAGAGAATTGCAAAAGTGTTTTTGAGTTTTTTTGATTCCTCTCCTTGATTTTGTAAAAAGTGAAAAACATCTCTAACGGACTTATAAAGACTTACAGATACAAATTATGAAGTCTGTCAAGTGTTTTGTCAAGTACAAGTACTGATGTGTCTGCGCATGGAAAAGATAAGTATGTTCAGCTGGTCATGAACTTTTCTGGTCCCAGAAATAGGTAAGTAAGGAGTGATGAGAGTATAACAATACACTGTAACTGTACAAAGAAAGACATTCATCCAATGAAACCTTTTATCTCACAGGACACATGATGTTGGCCAGAACAAAAAATGATGTCTCACTAAGCATCAGATGATCGAAGAAAAGACTGGAAGCTTGTGAACTTTGTTTATTCACCAACTGGTCTTAACAACTGTGCTGATCTCAGGAGATCAACCTTACATAACCGTTTGCTATTTATCTTTGATATGAACTTACATAAACCTGTTTGATGAACTAGAGCAGATTAAACAAATTGCCCTTCCCCAAAAAATCCAGATCCTTTGCATTGTAAATCAAGTACTGTACCAAGCATTTGAAGAACTATAGAGCTGTTAAAGGGCCTTTTAAATCCAAAATGTCAGTAATTCTGATTTCCTTCCAGAGATATAATAATAACAAATTCTATCACTCCGGTCAGAATGATTCATCAAACACAAGTTAACAAAGACCAAAAACAAAACTAGCCTCTCATCACCAAATAGTGGGACAGCTATTTTCTTCTAAAGGAATAAAAACAGGCTGATGCATACATTTCAGACAAAAAAATGGTGCATGGCAATTTTTGTCATTGCCCAGTGATTTATGGAAGAGGGCCCCTAAAACATGTATTTCTCCTTTACAAATAGCAGCTAATCTGGGACGTTCTAGCCACTTTCCTCTTTGTTGCCAAATAGTTGATAGGTTGAGAGGTTTATGTTTGAGCTTGGATATATGTGTATTTCATACTCAATTAGCCTATTTTTCAAAAGGTCATTTTAAATAGAACAACATGAAGAAATCTATGAAACAGTTGAATTTTTGAATGTTATACTTTTCTTATACTTGTTTTGTTTGCAGCTGTTGCAATTTTTTTTTTTTACCTTTTCGCCCTATGGATGCACTGGAGTAATGGGAATTTGCTTAATGGTAATTATGAAAAAATTTCAACTAGGACACAATGAACTCAAGTAAATGACAAAAACTGACTTAAAAAATTGAAGAAACTCAGACACTCAAAAGAACAGCCACAGTCTTACTAGGACAAGTATATACTATATATAAGTATAACTTGCTTGCCTGTCTATGGAAACAGCTCTCATGTAAGGATCAGTACATAACCTATAATAGATGTACAGATTAGGATGTCTCTTAGGGAAATGCTGGAGCCATGCTGTTGCAGATCGGTAGATGTGTAAAGAGCAAGCCCAGTGACTGAAATGATAGAGATGCAAGAAGAAAGAAAATGAAATGCATCATCATAGATGTGTGTTTCCACTGAAAAGCTTGGTTAAAAAGTATTCGTTAGCAATAATATAGCCTATATCATGTGTTTCCTTCATCTGTGTTTCTGCAAAGCATACACATGAAAGATTTTCCATCAATATTTGAAGAAAACAGTTACTGCTCTGTAAGTAAAACTGAAACATCTTGTATAATAACAACAATATATGATAATGGAAGTTTTAAGTATTCAACAACTATAGCTTCTATAATACTCTTTGCCTTTGCACCTTGTTTGGTTTGCGGTCGTTTTTTCTTGTTATAATCGTACTACATTTCCCATAGTGCTTAGTTCAATTGAGGGGTTTGGTTTGTTGGGCGCGCGCTGTGAAGAAAACTATTTGAAAGAAAAAATGGCGGAAAAACATTTGGAGGCTGAAAAAGACGGGTTTGTATCATTTTTTTTTTAAAACCATTGTAACCGTTGAGTTATTTCATATGTAAAGTTTGCGCTATCTTGATATAAGTGAAGTATTTTCAGCCAGAAAGTTCACTCCGTCTGAGTTTTGCCCAGAGAAAATTATTGTTGTCTGCAGCGCTTACTAACGTAAACGTGTCAGCGAAACACCGTGCTAACTTTCTCAATGTATTTTATTGATGTTCTGCACAATTAACGTTAGCTTGTAAATTCACATGTTCTTGCAGTTGTGGAATTGTCACTGTTGCTGAAAACCAGGATGAGGTAAGGGATTTTTTACTGACATTTCAGGTAGCTAGCTAGCTAACGAACAGCCTACACTAATTCTATGGTCATGAGCTAATCATGCTACAGAGAATCATTGCTATTTTGTTCTTAATTCAGTCTCTGTGTACCAAGGACAACTCAGTGACACAGACATCGAAAAGATACTCCTCCACACACCCCGGCACAGCTCCCCCACTCAAATCTCCCCGCACCGACCCCCTCTCACCCACCATACAGACGCCAGATGCAAGAGAAGGACATTCAGAGACAGACAAACAAGAAATGCAGACAGAAAACATAGAGGTACCTCCAAGTTCCTCTGTCAGCCCCACTGCACGGAGGAAATCCTGGAGAAGAGCTACCATAACCCGACGCTCTCTCCCTGCTCTCCCCAACCCTTATCAGGGTGAGATTTCTGTCTGCCTCTCCCCTTGTAATGAGTAAAGAATAGTCGCAGGGTATTTCTGTTTTTGCGATATATATATGTATATATATTTGTGTTTACTCTAGTTTTGTGCAGGAGCATAAGTAAATCCTTGTCACAGCAAGAGAGGTTGGAGAAATTGATGGAGGCTTCAATGAGGGTGAGTGTGGAAAGTTAATAAGTATAATAGTAAATTAATTTCGACAAACTTAACTGAAAATGTGAAAAAGGGAGGTACAGTAGGTTACTTTTCACCTCACAGGTATTGGATTAATAAAAGGAACAACGTTGGTGTTTAACAAATAAATGGGCATGGACTCTGGCACTGAAACATTAAAAGGGCCCACAGTTATTGAATTGCAAGTAATAGAGATTGTGCATCGTTGTGATCTTATAAGAACAAAGTAGGACGTTTACTGAAATTTAAATTCAGAACATTAGAGACCTCAAATATCATGGTTTTATGGTTTTTACCTGCTGTACATAAGATTTCCTAATGAAGTACTCATGAGGAGAATGCTTTAGCCATAATGAGTGGACTGTAAGGGTTAGAGGTGCACATACAATTCATTTTGATTAGACATAACTGAATCTCCTAATGGTTTAATCACTGTGTTTTGTCTTTAGCTGGCAATTGAACGAACTCAAAATTCGCTCCAGTCAGTGCCGAACTCCTCACTGGACTGTTTTCAAAAACAAGGTTAGTGCTTGCCCTGCTTCATTTTTTATGTCACATATTTAATGGAAGTTTTCATAGAAATATTCAGTTTACATTTTTCTATTGTCTGTGATCTGTGTCTTCCATGGTACAGTTAAACACATGCAGAAAGAGTGGAGTTATCTGGCCAAAAGCATACAAAACGAACCACATAATCAACTTGCTGATAGTGCTGCCAGGTATTGTAGCTGTATTTTATTTATTGACCACTCTTTTCACTCTTATATTGATTTGTGTTTGTTTTGCCAACAGTGCCTTTATGCCTCTGTTATTTGCTTTTAGTTCTTGTGATCCTGCAGTGCAGAGAGCAATGGAAAAAGTCCAGAAAGCCATCAACAGGCATGTTGTTCAATAGCACACACAAAGTATTCATACAAACCATACATTCAGTCTTAAAAAAAAACACAGATGGTGTGACTTATCGCATGCGGTTGTGTTTCTCTTACTGATGTGTTTTAGGCTCCAGGCTGAAAGTGAATCTTGGGAGGCACTGTTGAAGAAACATCGGAGTAAAGCAGAGGAACTGGAAAGGTGAGCGTGTGTACTATCACTGAGGAAAACTAGCTATGCTGTGTTAGTGTGTCAAAATTGTCTTGTCAGTATTGTGTCACTAATGCATTCTCTATTTCTTTCAGAAAAATGGAGCGGGGCCAGGAGAGAGGCTTATCCTTAGACACTGCATGTGTGGCCCAGTCCACCCAGTACCTTGTCATACAGAACAAACCCGACTACCATGGTCTCCTCTGTAGACAACAGCCGATCCTTCACACTATAGCAATGATTGTACGTTTGAAATTTAATTTTACGTCACTACTAAAAAATAGATAAATATAGCTATACGAGGAATGGTTAATTATTGTAGGAAAAGCTTTGAAGATTTGAATTGAATTTATTTTGATCTGCTTTATCGTGTCACGCAAAAGTTATTCCTTTTTCTTTTTTTAAATCTGTAGATGGACACACAATGTAAGATGGTTGGAGAGCTTCTGTCCATCAAGGAGCAGTCACAGTTATTGGTGAAAGAGACCAGTGGTCGATTGGGTAATGATTTTATTTGTCTTTCATCTTTTCTGTAGAATAATTTTGGTACTTTCATTGATGATCATGCAGTTTAGCATTTAATCTGGTTATTTTTTCCTACCTATCCCCTAGCGGCCGAGGCAGGATTCCAGGATCTTTCACCTGACCCAATCAGGAACCTTATGGCAGTACCTTTATCCTCTGCAACCACATAGTCACTTTGGCAGGAGGCAAGCACAAGCTGTCAATCCTCTGTCAGACAATATTTTTTTATGACTTGTATATGATCTTAGATGTGTACTCTCTGGTAATTTTACTGTTAAATGAACATAATTTCTTTGCCCTGTCTTTGCTGTCTTCTTTATAAACATAAACTAAACAAACTAATTTTATGTTTTCTGTGTCAAATTAAAACCATTTCAGTCATTGGCAGGACTGGCAATAGAGCTAGTTCAGTTAGTCCATGTGCTTGACCAGCAGGTGGCAGTGGTTGGCTTTCCAAAATTGTGACAAGCTTGGTGAATGGCTAGAGCAGATTCTTCTGTAAAGCCTGAATTAAGTGCATGCTCACCTGTAAAACCTGAAATTTTTCAAACTAGACTGCCAGCTGTTATAAATTAAGGAATGGCCAAATGCCTGAGAAAACTTTGGCAACTTCCAGCAAAACAAGATTATTGGTTGTTTGTCAACAAATAAATACTGAAAAATTCCCCACCTCTTAGAACTAAAACCTGTTCAATTAAAATAAATATTCAAATATGATGACTGTATCAGAAACCAAAACTGATTTTGTCAATGAAATGGACTTGAAATTTTTAAAATGTGGGGTGCATTTGAAGTGACATTTTTAAGCAGTTTGATTACTACTATTTTTAAAATGTGATCAAAAGTGATTGTGCAAAGAGTATACTTTGTGTTGTTTTCAAAGTTTTATTAAACCTATTAAAAAAAACGGCAATTTTTCCCCTGGAAGTCACGTGTACATCAGGAAAACATCAACTATAAAGATTATGAAGCTGTGAGCAAAACAAGATAGTTTGAATACATAAGGATTCTACTGTGTAGTTTGCATACAGTCTTTATGTGCAGGCCTTTTTACATGCTCATTCCCGGTCACATTTACTCTCTTTTTGTTGCTGCATCTATTTCACTTCATCTGTGTCCCCTGACCATTCAGGAGGAGGCCCCTCCCCCACAGTGACTCACCCCCATCTCTTGCGTTTGGCTGGGTCACTGATGCAGAACGAAGCTTTGACATTGTACCAGTCAGTCAAAGCTTTGTTCACTATCACTTATCTCCTGGACCAATTCACTCATTAATGTTCATACTTAATTTGTTTTTCTGATGACTGCAGTAGAAAGGAAATCCTCTTTCCCTGTGGCTAACAATAAATAAGAGAGAATGGCTTTCCCGTTCTGCAGTTATGATCTTCAACATGGAGTGTGGTAAATTTTCCTTGTATTCAAGGGAGTGACTAGAGAGCACAGGGACAAGCAAAGAGAAGACAAGCGGGGTTGTGGCCGTGAGAGTTGTGAGTAAGGGAGGATGGTGCACAGCAGGAGAGATCGATTCTTATTTAGATGAAAATGAGGCTTGATGCTTGTGGGGTGAGAGGAGGGCAGCTTTAGCATCCAAATGAATAGAGGTTTCACAGAAATGATCCTTAAATGAATCACCAACAATAAAATGAAGAAGTTTACAAAGCCACTGACATAGTCTTTCTACTTTCAAGGAAGGTCTCCTGACAGTGACAGAATTTGGGGTTAGATAGTAACCCCTGCAGCTACTCACTTAAAATTGCATCATAAAGTGTTTAAACAACCTCAATGACCCTAGTCAATGGTGTATTAGAAGTTATTCCATTTAAGTGTTTAATCTGAATGCAACGCATATTTGTGCTTGGGTGTGACCAGGTTCTCTGGGTTCCTTGTTTGTAGATTAGTATTAGAAAGACAGAAAGAGAGGGTTGTTTTTTCCATATAATTTATGTGTGTGTAAATATTTTCTTTTTCTATTTCAACCCTAATGTTTAGGTTTGGTTGTGATGGAGACAACTTTTTAAAAATCCACTGCTTGGTATAACAAGCAAGATACCTGAATTGTGACTTGTACTATATGCACATGCAAAGAACAATTACTGTTTAGGTTTACTGTATTCTCTATTCTTGTTGTCTCTAACTTTAGATTGATTAGCTACAGATTGTAGTAGATGGATGTGTGGAGAGTCAGCATAAACCACTGCCAGTTTGGTCCTACTCCCTCATGCACACCCATCATCTCTTCTCAGTACAGCAAGGCTTGCTGCAGCTCTCCTCCACATCCATTCAGCCAGCCATTCGTCTTGGAAAGCTGTCTCTCTGATCTGAGTGATAAACTACAGCAGAATTGCCCAGTTTGCAAAAAACAAGGACACTTGTTTTCAATCTGTGCTGTCAACATTTTCATACTGAAAACTGATGGGATGTTTCATTCATCAGGGGTTTAGGACAGAATGATTCTCTTAGGTTGGACTGTTCTGCTTTGAGATTGACTATTGCTCTTTATATTGCCACAATGTGCCAACATTGATGGAGATTAGCTCTTTTACTTCAAGGTACAACTTATGAAATACTAAACTAGCAGAGACCAAATTGGTTTAAATACTCTTTTTCTGTTCAACACACTTAGTCATGAGCAGGGACAGGTTGTTGTGGCTTTTTAGAGTTAAGAAGCTTACTGTTTCTAATGTACAACTCAAATAGCTCACCATCCCAGTCCTGTGTGTACTATGTGTACAAACATTCAGTTCAAAGTTTTGTTTATAAAAGCAATCAGGTTAAGCACGTGATCCCACCTTATATTAATGACAATAATAGCTTCACCCAATTATAATAGGACAAGCAATGCTGATGACGTAAGAGGCTATCCATTTGTAAAGGCCATACACGAGGAAAATCTTATCACCTGGAGGAGTGATACAGTTAGTGCTTTGAACAGTGTTTAAGAAAATAATACCTCATACATTGTTTTCACCATTACGCCAGCTAACATGGAAATGTATCTCCATTAGTAGCTGTGTTTTCTATAGGACTGATCAACCCACCCGCAAGCTCGCGCTCTGTGGTGCTATGAGTTCAATGGTCAACGCGACGCACACCGCTCGCGCAGCCCAGAACATCCCACATACTCGCGCGACATCAACAACAATGGCAAACCACCGTAGTCTGTTTTGGTAGGAGATTTCTGATTGGGAGCTAGACGGTCCGAAAGCTTCGTCGCTGTATTCACGTCTTATTTCTTTTTTTGTTAGAATTGGTGAATTTTATTTTAAGATAAGAGTGCTCGTCTGCTGTTATATTTTTCGTTTTTACATTTTTTTTTTCGAAAATGTGCGAGGCGCTGTTGGCAAGCTCACACAGTCTGTGCATGTGTGTCCCTGCTGCTTTTCTGCTGGGCTACAGCTACTAACCTAGCTGCTTTTCACACGGTGGTTAGCTAACGTTAGCCTGGCCGCGTTTATTGACTTGAGGGGGAAAAACACAAGCAAATGTAAAGAGTGTTCGTGCGATTTGTTTTATGACAATAACCCTTAACTATTTGCCAATCGTCGCTGTCGGGCTCGGTAAGAAGTGTTGTATGATTTGTCGTAGAAAATACTTTGCTGGCTAGCTAACAGGCTAGCTATTTGTGTGTATTCTTCGACTGAGGAAAACGGCGAGTTTTCTTTGAAAGTATGGATGACCAGACCAGGATGATGACGGGTCTCACCGGACTCGGTGGACTACCACAAGCCGATGTCGACCCAGACTCGGTCAGGAAACAGCAGTCCCTCGGTCAGCCTCAACAAGACATAGGGGATATTCTACAGCAAATAATGGCCATCACCGACGAAAGCCTGGACGAAGCACAGGCCAGGTAAGACAGGCGAAGAGCCATTTTCCACACATGATAGCTAAGCTAAAGTGCGCTGTATGTGTCTTACTTTTGCTTTAGGGCTCAAGCGTTTCTTTGAAACCTTCACGTAAGGTAATGCGTAATTACAACATTAATGCAACTTCACGTTACGTTGTAATTCGCTGCTAAGCCAATAACGTTACATTTAGTTATAGAATAACTTGAACACCCACATTACAGTGCTGGTGTACTTTGGAGGGAGGTTCTTTGTTAATTCAAACCGTGCTCCATTGTAAACTGTAATTGCAAACATGTTCACTTGGTTGAAATACTACGATAACGTAAATCTTAATTGGTTTATCAATGAGGTGTCATATTAAAAAGTTTAAACTCCCTATTGAGTCTGTGGCAATGGGAGCCGTGTGAAATGCACATAACCACTTTCCCAACACTATAGCGGTAGCTGCTTTTGATTTGACAAAACAGTTTCATTAGCCCCTGCTTTAAGGAAAGAGATCTTATATATTTCAAGACAGTTTTTGATATTTTCTCATTGGACCATAGGACAATATAAAGTTAGGGACTCCATTTTCCCGTTTACACCAATTATTAAGACTATCAAGATGTATGTCAAGAAAATGCAAAATAATCTCTAAAATAGTGCATGTTTTGCAAGTTGCTAGTCACTTAGTTAAATTAGGTTTTCTGGTCATGTTGCCAAACCTTTCACATATTACTAATTAGACTATGCCAAATTAGATTTGCCTAATTATAACAACATGTATCTGATATGCCCCTTTACATCAAACGAGTGTCGGTAACAGTAGTCATTGAAATGTAAATGAGTGGATAAATTAAGGTAAGGGTTAGGATTACTCAATTGTCCCACGTATCAGCCCAGCGCTGTATGTGACGACAACAGTCGTTCATTCATATCACTCATCACTTAATGTTTGTGTTGAGGTGTTTTTACGAATCATTGTTGTAGGTTGTATGCATTACACTGAGCGACTGACTCGCACTCATTTGCCATGTGGCTCAAGGAGCATAAGGTCAGTTTCAGATGAAGCGTCAGTATTTCAACAATAGACAACCGTCCACTGCAAGACTGTGGCCACAGTGTGATGTGTCATTAGCTAGTGATTTTCCACCCAACATTTGACCACCTGGTTCTCTTAATTAATTCACTCCTCTTTCACTCCCTCCCTCCCTGGTGTTCATCCTTTTCATTGTGTGCTGGGTGCAATCAATTCTCCTATAATGTGTACGCGAGTGCAGCTGTCCGCAAATCGAGTTTCTATTAATGAGATGGTGGTGAGGGGGAGGGATGATGCTATACCAGCAGCCTATGAACACTGGGATATTACATTTTCTTCAGTACAAGTTTGAGGACTTAATCAGGACTTAATGGACAAATGCAAATATTTTTGCTTTGGAATATTTCTTGTAGTCCATTATTTATTTTTTTTTCCAGTCTTGTTTTCTTTACCATATGATTTTTGCTGACCATTTACACAATGTTGTACTATTGTTAAATCAAATAATATTAATTACAATTATTTGGATTTAAAGGGCCAATTATAATGCAGGAAGTTGTGTAGCAGTCCTATTATTAGATGATTATTCTGAAAAACTAATTAAAGGTGTGGCTGCTTCGGAAGTGCCAAAGGTGTCCTTGCTGTATGCTTGTATTGATCTAAACTCCCATCTCAGAGCATATCCTCTTCATGCTATATGTGTGCTGGATTAATACTAAAAAGAATGCACCATACTAGATCAGTGGGCTTCATACAAATTGTGTGGCATGCACAGCTTAAGTGCCTGATGCTGTCATGTGCATAATATGTATATAGTCAATAAAAGCAATTTTGATGACAATATTAATTTTCTGAACAGTATGTATTTATCATTAGCTGACAGACTATCTTGCACTACGTGTGCAATTACATGGCTGTTGGCTAATTTGTTTCTCAGGTTTACTTCAGGTAAAAG